TGTGTGTGTGTGTGTGTGTGTGTGTGTGTGTGTGTGTGTGTGTGTGTGTGTGTGTGTGTGTGTGTGTGTGTGTGTGTGTGTGTGTGTGTGTGTGTGTGTGTGTGTGTGTGTGTGTGTGTGTGTGTGTGTTTGTTTTCAGAACATGGCATCATCTGTCGCCAATTTTCAAATATAATTTTCCTTTTTATAGCATAACGCATTAACAGAATGACCAAAAAAATTTATTTCCCCCCTCATTAAACCTGACTAGTAAATAGAAATGTTCCCGGAGACTTCTTACACTGAAAGGAAAGGCGAGTTTTTAGGCAGACAGGGGTCCGGAGCCCACCACCTCCAAAACAGGCGAATTTAAGGTTAGCCATTCAAAGCTGAGGACAGTAGGTGTCAGAAGTGCGTTTTGTGGATTATTGCGGGTAATTTCACGAAATATTTTGTCTCATTAGAGAGGGGTAACAGAGAATGTGCAGTTGGTAAAGTAATTTGTGTGAAAAGCGTCGTATTACTTACAGAGACTTCACAAGGCTTTGAGTCAGCTGGACTGAAGTATGGAGCAACGTCGTCCAGATTTATTAAATTAATAACAACTTCCTCTCGACTGTTTGCTACTTGCACGAAGAATCTGTACGCCCTTTGGCTTGGCACCTCAAAATCTTGGGCGATTTTCACGACAAGGAACCAAAAGCCACTGTCTTTCTCAGTCACTAGCCCCAAGTCGTTATTGTTTCCAGTGACGAAGTTCTGTATCTCTGGTTCATCGTAATCTGTAACAACATAATTGATTGGATGTTTCACTTTCGCTCGCAAGTCCCCTGAATTCCGAGCAAAGGGCTTTGGAATTATCCCCTTCATCATGCGTCGAATATTCTTGGAATTCTGTGATGAACATCTATAAAGGTCGCTATTGTAATATTCCTACTTGATTTATGAAGACCAGGGCACATTTACAGTGTCTAAAGAGCGGAATAATGTGTTTCAACGCGGTGAAAATTTTCTCTAATCGGTTTCCCGCTGTTTTATTGTTAAAGGTTCGTGTTTCTCATTTCTTTCAGACAAAAATCTGTTGTTCCAGGCCAAAATACATTCAGTCAATAACATTTTTTTATTATTATTATTAGTGTTCTGTGTGACGACAGGTCCATATGAACAGGATCCTTCCATCCTTTTCTCGGACTGGGACCTGTTCATATACGTTCTTGGCAGATGATCCAGAAGTGGTTTGCCATTGCCTTCTTCTGTGTGTGAATGGAGTAATTGTTGGGATGCCACGGAGAAACCGGGGAAACTCCGTGTTGCCTAGACCACGGCCTTGCCCAACACAAGTTATACCGCCGGGAATCGAACCAGAGACCCCAGGATTACAAGGCCAGCGTTAACAGACAAAAATTATTTTGAGCATTTATTTGATGAATGTTTTATGGTGTAGCCATGAGAAAGTTTCCACACTTCACACAACAAATATAAATTACTTGATATTTTAAACTCCAAACCCCAAAGCTAGCTTCATGGCGTCAGTCATTAGTAATCAATCACCTGTCATTTTCGAGATGTTAGAATAATCTGACGACAAAATGAATGCGAATCGCTTATCCGTCCATATCCACTGGTGGGGAATTTGATAGCGTTGATGTGTCTAAAGTACACTCAGCCCGGTAGTTCTTTGTTACCAAACATGAGCTGTTTGCTGCGTTGGCGAATCCATAAATACGAGTGACCAACGAGGCATCTCGTTTGTTTCTCCGTGATTTTCTTTTGTTCATTGTCACTCCGGTAAAACATGAGCATTTTTAGGGAAATAACCGGGTATTATCAGACTAAATAAAATTAAGAATATTGCAAACAGAAGTGGAAAGACCAATGTGATCTCAAGCTTTCACGGCGACTGAGTATAATGGATTCTTCTGGGGCTACCAGCCGTGTCAGGTGGCTTTAACGGAGAAAAACTCCGACGTTTCGACGTTCGTCCTCGTCTTCAAGGTACCAACTGAGACGGCTGGTAGCCCGAGAAGAATTCATTATGCAAAGACCAACTTTATATAATCGAAGATGAACGATTACCAATAAAGAGGTTACTTTACAGACTCAGAGAGCGAAGGAATGTGAGTGACCCTGAATGATATTGTTACGGAATGAATCCTCAGTGGGCTCTTACGTTAAAAAGAGGAACACAAATATAAAGAACATTCTTTTGGCACTCTAGGATTTCAGGCGATACTCACCGGCGCAGTTGAAAACTGCTATCTGGATGTCCCCAATCCCTTCTTTTAGGGAAATCTGTGTTATGTAATCAGAGAATATCACCGTCACGTCATCATCGTTGGGGTCAGGATCAGCGAGTGGCAAGTTGGAATTGCAGTCTGCAAAAACACAACACGGCGTAGTCCGCGTGTTAAAACAAGCTAAAGGATTTGTTTGTTGTTGTTTTGGGGGGGGGGGGGGACAGGCGACGAATAATGAGAGAATCGGTAGGAAACTAACAGATATTATTATGGAGGTGGTAAGAACAACTTACTTCATAAATAATATATTTTAGTATTTATTGCCTTTCACAGTAAGTTCCCTGCTATTCGATACACTTATAGACGTCTCTGTCTTTCGGTTCCCAGACACAAATTACTCTCCCAGGGTCGTTTTGATACTCCTACAAAATTGGCCACGACATCTCCTCCTCCGCTCACTCTCTCATTGGTTACTTAAGAACAAATCCGCATGGTTCGATTTCTTTAAAGAAGAGTTTATATTCTGAAGGTTATTTCCCACCACGCCCAAGCCCAATTTATCAGCAACAAATGTTATTCAACGTCGAAAACACAGAGTTAGGATAACTGGCGAAGGAAGTGGTCGTGGCCTGCCTCAACTTACGCTAAATAATCCGGCAAAAATGGCGATACAATTCTCGCCGTCGGTTACAGGTGCGTTCTCATGGACATGGCTCCGCGTCGGAAGTTACAGGTTGTGTGACTGCGTTGTATCAACTGTTGGAGCCGACGCAACTTAATCTGCGAAGCAAATAGGCCACGGACCTCGATTTTGTCGAGGGGCAGGATATTTAACCCCCCTCACCCGCGGTTCTAGGAAACCACCCAGCCGTCCTCTCACCCCTAAAACTATCCACATCCAGTGACGATGTTATGACTTCCTGGAATTGCCTGGAATAATTTTTACACTCCCACGTGCTACAATCTTAAGCTCAGAGACAAATATGTCTCCTTGAATCATTTAAATTAATATGAAATTTGCATAAATATCAACTTTTGGATTCCATGACTAAATTTCAATAATAAAATTAGGATATGAAATTAAGAAGATATTCCGTTTTAACGAACGACCAGAGATTAAATATTAAATGAATGTCGCGAACGATGAGACAGGCGCAGCTAATGCGTTGTAAAAGGGTGACAGTTCACGGTTTAACTGGACCCTCAAAATAAGGGCTGTAATAAAACCTGAAACAGCAGAGATTAAATTTCTAAGACATGGGCACAGTTCGTAACGATGTGGAAACTTTTACTTGAAACGAGAACCCAAGAACATGACATCTGGTAGCACCCTCGATCTTTGTATTCTTGAGGCCCCCAGTTCATATCTCGGTTTGGATACCGGCTATCCTGACGGAAGATTTCTCTGCTTTTCCTCAGTCGCCTTCGGTTAAATGCAGGGGTATTACGTTAAATTATACCACGACCACTTCCAGTTTATTGATCATCTTACATTTTCCTGCTATACAGCGTCGTTAAACAAACCATAAAAGGAAGTAACCGGCGACAGTAATTTGTTACATGACGGGAGTTTTTTTTTTTGAATTGGGACGGGTCAAAGCCTGCGTGTAGACGAAGGCTTTGGCTCAATAAATTTGTTCGCGCGAATAGTATCTTCTTGTGGTTACAGTAACGACAGTTCACTTGAAGGCGCTCTGAGAAGTGACAGATGTTTTTGGACGTCTACGTTAAAGAACACAACCTAATCTCATGGCTCTACTGACAAGAGCTAATCTCTGTCCTTTAAAATCGACCCTACAGTTTAGGTCTTGTAACGTCCACAGACCAGGAGAAAATCCCTGCTAGGAATGCGATATACGCGCATGCGCAAGATTTCGCAGTGAGTGACGACCCATCCTAAAAGCATTCGTTCCACAACCACTGAACGAACAACAGACGACAGCCTCTCACGTGTTCTGATGTGTACAGCTTTAAGATTACCTCACAGCGGCACAGCGATTTAATCTAGAATATTATCGCAACACCCACAGAACACATTAGAGTGCGCTCGCTACTCGCTACTCTTAACTGCTTGATGTTTTCAGTCTGTGTAGTGGCGTAAAACTCTGACGTATCACACTTCCCACCAATAGCAGCCCTCTAGTCCACCAGGCAGTAAACATCCCCCCCGCACCGACCAGAAACGACTTCCCCTTGCAGGGTTTCTCTCGTGATCTGTGGACAGTACCTTCTCCTGATAATTCATATTCATAAATCGTGTTTCCTTCCTGTAACCGAAAAAAGGGACATATACGTGTCAGTGTAACAATAAAGCTTTGTCACAAATGCTTAGACTAATCGATAAGATCCGTCTTCATAAGCAACAGATCGTCCGTCCGTGTTCTGTGTTTGTATCTCCTAAGCACCGTGTCCTCCATTTTATTGTTTTAATTGTTCCGATAGGGTAAGAACGTGGCTCTGCGCTTAAGCGAAGGTCTTGGGGGAGCAGTTCTGTTCAAATGCACACTTACCCGCCTTTACAGTAGCAAGGAACACCAGCGAGCCCAACAGCAGGACTGCAGCCATCGTACCTGAAACAGTTGTTAAACAACGCGAGACTTCAGCCCGCGATTAGACACGATACTGAGCTAATGTTATGCTCCAACCTCCTACTCGATCTTCTGAGAGGTCTCTCCGTCAGAAACAAACTTTGCGAATGCATCACGTCACGTCATAGGCATGCACTTCGAAATGCATACGAGCTGCTTAACAATTGCGTAGTCCTATATCATTTAATGTACCGTGTGTCCCTCGGCAGTATGTAGAGGCCCCGACGTCATAAATATTTTTCAAACAACGTGTATCAGAGTACAGAGCATGCAGACATCTCGTCCGCTCAGTCAGCTTAACGGTATGCAACACGCAGCGCACACCACGGGAACTGGTGGGTCAGGACCTCGTTCGGTGACCGACAATCCTGACAGGGATTTCCTCAGTCTTTCCGAGCGAATTCTAGGATGGTGCTTTAGAATAGGCCACGACCAGATCCCTGACCTCACGAACTTTGCAACTCATCATGTGACTTCTCGCTGGACGCCTTCTCGCCCAGAGTCTTCAGCTTCCTTAATCTCTGCGTGGTGTAGCCACGTTTCCTTCTACCTTCGGGTATTTTGGTCTGTGCAGAACGAAACGTAATTTCTCGGTGAACGAGTCCCCTTTACTAGCCGTAGCCTATCCACAGAACGAAAATATTAGCATTGCAAACGACAAACACTGCGACGACATGAATGTTAGACATGATGTCTCACTTTAAGATAGCGAAAATTAGGCACAATAATTTAGTGTACACGTTCCGTTGGCCCAAATGGAAGGATTTAAAGGAAAGTTGACATCAAAAGTTCTTCCCAGAAGGAGTGACGTATTGAAAAGCTTTCGCTAGTGATGAAAGAGATAAAGACACTTACGACGTCAAAGAAGCGAGAATTGTTTGCCGTGGTCTTTTATCTAGAGGACCAAGGCTCAGGAACTTGCAGAGTTCTTTTAATACCACCAACAGGAATATTACTTACTATTACTCTGAATTACATTTCGGGTTCTATAAAATACGTATTTATTCAGTAACTGAGTGACTTCCCAAGAAAGACTATGTCCCATGCAGTTATTTACGTAACTGGTTTTGAGACAGAATTATTCTTCAGTTAGATGATACACTTTGCGTCCTCGAAAACATTTTTACAACAAAATTGACATAAACTTCTGTTCTTATATGCATTCTGTAACGTTGTAGGCCTACTATTAGTATTTACGGAAAGCACAAACCATTACAATGACATTTTTTTTTATAATTATTTAATTATAAGTTTGTTCAGTTTAATAAATTCCAAAACTGGAATTAAAAATTAATTTCTTATATCCAGACTGTTGTCTTCCGGGTTGTGACACCGTATATTATGCAGCCCTGAAGATGGACACATTATGTATCTCTGTAACGTTAGTATCTACATACGAGCATAACCCATAAGAACATTGTAATCTTCACTGCCGTGAGAATCTCAAATTATGCACAATTATTCTTGTATGTGATTTAAAATTTTCAGACGAAAGAAATTAAAGTCTTAGATTCTTCACTTGCATTGGTAATGGATGAAGGGAGATGTTAAAATCTCAGCCCGGGGATAGAACAGCAGACCGATGGCTGGTTATAAGAGCGTTTTTAAGTCCTGCATCTAAATTCAGTCACTCCAAGGCCGTCTGTATATCTTTGTTCATTTAACGACACTGTATGTATTACGTAGATTATATATTTTCAAATGACGAAAATGATTATAAATCATGTACTGTGGCGAAATTGCCACGGTGGTCTAGCGGTTAGAACGCTGGCCTTGTAATCCTGGGGTCTCGGGTTCGATTCCCGGTGGTGCCCGAATTTATAACTTGTGTTGGGCAAGGCCGTGGCCTAGGCAACACGGAGTTTTCCTCATTGGCATCCCAACAATTACTCCATTCACACCCAGAAGAAGGCAATGGCAAACCCCTTCTGGATCATCTGCCAAGAACGTATATGAACAGGTCCCAGTCCGAGAAAAGGATGGAAGGATCCTGTTCATATGGACCTGTCGTCAGACAGAACACTAATAATTAAAAAATACCTATCCAATGGGTTCCTGAGGGTCTTTTTTACCGTGGATAAAGGTGGCCGGAACATTCTTAACTTTTGTCCTTGTATGTGTATGGTGTCTTAGGTCGTTCATTTTACCGAAAGTCGCAGTTCGCGCGACATTCATTGTTCCTTATCTGTGAGTCAGACGTCAGGTTTGGAGCCAACACCTTAACTGTTAACGTGCAACGAGTATACGATGACGCCATCGCCATTAAGTGGTTAATACTGTCATCGAGGGAATTTGATAACGACGAGTTGTGGAAAATTAAACAAACATGTTTGTTTGCTTGTTTGTTATAAGGAAATTGCAGGAACAATTGCAACTTTGTTCGGTCATTCTAAAGGACATTGAGGAAGGTGCATTGCAACAATCTTGGTTCCTTTGTCATAACACGACGTTTCGGGGATTGGGTCTGTCTACGTCATCAGGTAAAATAAGGAGACGAAAGGAGTCCTACTCCGTGGGGTCCCTTAGCTAATCTGAACGCCTGTTCAAGTCGAAGCCGGGTGTACACACACCTCACGTCACATTTCATCTGTACATACGCCGACACTCAAAAATTTGTATAAAAATTCCGAATTAAAATCCACTTAATAAAATAAGTATTAAAATTGAAAAAAAAAAGATCTTCTGGTCAGTTTTTATGTAGCCAGCCTTTTCACGAACCTGTCAGTAGACGAGGTTCTACGGGGCATCCACAAGCTGTTATCGGAGACCAGAACCTTCCACAACGTTTTGTAGTGCAGGTTGCCGACATAACGGAGTTATTGGAGCTTTGTATATAAACCTCCTACTTCCACCAAAAAGACGATATGGCGTAGGGAAATTCAGTTCCTCCGATTATTAGTAACACATAGAGAGAAAATTTTTGAAATCCAGGCCCTGGATTCAGTAGAATACAAATTCAGCATCTGGATAATCGTACGGCTCCTAGTATCACCGAGGACGCATGAATTTCTCAACCACGTCAACAAATCTCGGGCCCTCCATTCAGTTTACTATGGCAACGGCGTCAAACGAATCTCCGTCTTCTCTTGGTGTAACAGTCACGACAAAGAGGACTAGACCGTCAACGTGGGTCCACAGGAAACCCACACGAACTGGACGCTACCTCCACTCTGACTCCATCCACCTACGCCATGTGAAGAGGGGGCCCGTCCACAGTTTGGTGCTTAGAACAGACATCGTTTGCCAAGAACGGCAAAGCATTTATCACAACGAGACTGGTAACAGTAGACACGGGTAGGCACTCAACGGGATTTCCTCATCCTTCGTCGAGTCCGTCATCGACAGACCAGCGGCAAAACGTCGGTCACATACAGACACAACTCCTCCACTCTGCAGGACGTCAAGGGAGTCTCCGGAAACTTCAGACGCACTGGGATTAAATATAAAATTAGGACCGCGTTCAAGCCTCTGAGACACGCCCTTGTGGAAACCAGGCCTGGAAGAGACCTTCTACGTAACAAATGCTGTGTTTGTTATGCAGTGCGCCGTGTGAGTGAGGCAGAATTTGCGTTGGAGAAGCAGGCAGCCCACTGAGAGTGCGCGTCGGAGGACGCCAACGCCATTTGAAGTAAAATTCAAGCTGGCACGACGTCCCTGTGAAGAAGGACGTCGGATTAATTGGAGAGAAGCCGAGATTCTGCAAAAGGGAATTCAGTTACATTTGGAAAAGAAAAGAAAAATATAGAAATCGGCCCATGTGGCATGTGAATACGAACCAAGCCTGAAAATGTCAGCTACGAGGTGCGATCGGAAAGTTTCAAGACTGCGCGTATAAAAACCCGTACACTTATCTCAGGTATTAAATTCATCCATCACCCTCGAAGTAGTTCCCCTGGGAGTGAACACAACGACCCCAGC